AAAAATATTCAAGACAAAGCATGAACAGAAAAGGGGAAAGTGGATCACCTTGCCGAATACCTTTCCCGCCTTTGAAGAATCTAGGCATACTTCCAATCAAAGCAACGGAATATGTTGGAGAGGTAACACATTCCACAACCAATTGAATAAATCTCAAAGGAAAACTCAACCCTTCAAGTACTCTTTTGAGGAAGTCCCAATTTACCGAGTCATAAGCTTTCCTTTAATCAATTTTTAGGAGGCATCTTGGAGCGACCCTCTTTCTATTGTATTGTCTCAAGAGTTCTTGAGGAAGATGTATATTTTCCATCATACTCCTACCTTCAATGAAAGCGGTTTGTGCTTGGTCCACAATGTCCCCCAAGATAGGCCTCAATCTAGATGCAAGGATTTTTGTTATCACTTTATAGATGACATTACAACAAGATATCGGTCTATAATCCACAACACTCGGATTATGACTTGACTTTGGCACCAAAGCAATGACCGCATGGTTGATTTGTTTAAGGATGGAACCCGATGAAAAGAATTCCATGATAGCCTCCACAAAATCAAGTTCAATACACTCCCATGCGCTCTTGAAAAAACATGAAGTGTACCCATCCGGCCCGAGAGATTTATCATCTCCAATCCCAAAAAGAGCTTCTTTGATCTCCTCAAAAGAAATATCCCGAATCAATGCATTGCCTTGTTCCAAAGATACCAAAGGCCCATTGCAAATGATGTCTTTGTCGATCGGCCGAACCGGCTCTTTTTTCCCAGCAAGTTAGTATAGAAATTGATAAATTCCAACGCAACTTGGTCTTGTGAAGTGGTATACATCCCATCCTCCTTAAGAATAGTAGCTATAAAATTTCTCCTTGAGTTTCTTTTAACCACGGAGTGAAACAACATTGTACATTTATCACTTTACTTAAGGAAGATGCAATTTGCCTTTTGATAATAAAAACGATGCTCCGCTTCACATAAACCGAGGGCTTTCTTCCTCAATTTAGCAACCATAAATTGAAAATTTTCATTCATGGGCTAATTAGCAGTTGAATTTGGGCAGCCTCCAGTTCATTTTTTTTCCACGTTTACCCTATCCGAAATGTGCCCAAAATGCTTAATATTAAGCTCCTTCAAAGCTCGCTTTAGTTTGCTCAACTTCTTGCAAAGGATAAGTTGCTTTGTCCCACGCGCATTAAAATTCCAAGAAGCTTGAATAAGATCATGGAAGTCCTCATGCCTAGTCCACATGCTAAAAAACTTGAAAGTTTTTTAGCACCCCCAACACGGTCATGAATAGAAACAATGCAAGGGGAGTGATCGGAAAGGCATCCGGAAGGTAGAAAATTTGCATCAACATATGCCCTATTTTGCACCCAAATATCATTAACCATTACCCTATCAATTTTGCTCCAAAACAAACCATTAGTCCACCTGTAATAACAACCAATTTTGCTCCAAAATGAACCATTAGTCCACCTGTAATAAAAACCAATGGAGCGCACATCCGTGAGACATTTGCGTTGAACTCCATAATGTTATTCCAAATTGGCCTCCGGTTAATAATAGTATGAAATCCATAAATGAAACTAATAAGAAAGGTATAAGATGTAACCTTGCAAGTAGCTTTACAATGAATCATTTGTGGATGAACCTTCATCACATCCAAATACACTTTGGATGGATTCCACAAAATCAAGATCTGTCCAGCTCTATGAGTGCAAAAATTGTTTACATGCATGAAGCCATCGAACTTATTCCTCAAAATTCTCATCAATTTTTGATCCCCCAACTTTGTTTTCAAAATACCCATGATATCAATGCAATGTTGCTTGATAAATTTATGAATCCCATTTTGTTTAAGGGGTGGATTCATACCCCTAATATTCCAAGATGCTAACTTCATGACGTTGAAGCAAGGGATGTACCCTTCTTCTTACCAACTTTTGTTACTAGTTTTATTTGCTCAACAACAATACCTTTGAGCTTTTCATTTCCAAAATTATTTGATTCTGCCTCATTGACTTTTGCTGAATAATCTGCCATAGAAATAGGTGCCATAGTACGTGCATTTTTATTTCCAAAAACTGTTCGATTTTTCTTGCTAACAACCTCCACAAAAGGGGCCTCATCCTGTCCCAGAACCTGTCCAGCATGTTCGGCCACTTCAGTAGCCTGTAACTGCTAGGTTGATTTTCACGTCCATCTGGGGCTAAAGTTTTTTGTGTTTCTTTCCCACATGAAGCTGATGCTGTCTCTCCCATAATATGCTGGGAATTTGAGGTTGAGACTGAATTCCCAGCCTGCACTTTATTCCCATGTTTAACCCGAATATGAGCCTTTGTTTTAAACACATTTTTGCCTTTATCTTTGTCACCCCCGGCAAGTTTATTTTTGCAACCCAAAGCGGAGTGACCGAATACTTTGCAAGAACCACAAAATTTTGGCTCATGCTCATAGAGAATTTCTTGCTCCCTCAAATGTCAATATGAAGTCTAATTTTAACCATCCGAACAAGTTCCTTCGATCCATCGACTTCAACAAGTGCTCTTGCATAAGAAAGTCTACCTCTACTAGCCGTGACTTTATCGGTAGATATGGGTTTTCCTACTTTGGAGACAATTTTCCCCAAAGTGTTTGTGTTCCAAAATTCCAACGGTAATCCCGACAAATTGATCCAAGCCGGCAAAATGCTAACATCTTTATCATCAAAGTCAAAATATTGGGGCATGATTTTCAACATCAACGGTCTTCCATAAACCAAGTAGGGTCCTCCATGCAAAACCCTTAGCCTATCCATGTTCATCTCAAATTTGAATACTAGCCACCCACTTGAATGCACATAGTATTTCTAATCAACTTTCCAAGAGTCGCACAATTGGAGAAGAGCCATTTTCTCAGG